GGGGGGGGCGGGCGGGGGCCGGCGCGGAGCCCGTCCGGGGGTGGGGCGCTGCGTTGCGGCCGTGCCCCCCCGCGCCGCGGAGCACCTGCTTAGATTTGGGACCGCCCCCCGGTGCTCCAGTGATGGAGCCCCCCGGCCGCGGGGGTCTTCGGACGCGGCCCGGCATCCCGCCCTGCTTAGCCTGGAGTGGGTTCCGTTGGTCTTGAACTGGGAGCTGGTGGACATCCTGGATGCCCGTCACTCCTGCTTCATAGCACTGGTGGTGGGTATCAAACCGGGGGGTGGGGGTGGGAGTTGTTCTGGGTTGCTTGATTCCGGGTTAGGCGGGCTTCTTCTTTCTCAGTGTGCTTGATCAATCCTATGGCCGAGCAGCAGGGCTGGACCAGGCTTGGATGCTCTCAAGGGGCTGTGAGCAGAGAGAGAGAGGGAGAGAAATCTGGAAAGACAGCGACGTACATTCATTCCAGAGTCTCATGCATGCAAGTGTTCTGTCGGAAAGAACACGTGTCCGTAAAACACGAACTGAAGGCCAGGCTGGATTTGGGTGGCTTTTCCATCCCTGGCTTCAGGCCTATTTCAGAGCTACTTCTGTTTCGGTTTGTTCTTCTTCTTGGCACAGTATCAGAAGGACCTTGTTAGATGTAGACCTGCAAACAATTCAAACATTTTTAGGAATGGACCTGTATAAAGGTGCACAAATATGGGTTATGCATGCCGGGGAACATTTTTATGTGCAGGGCAATATGGCACAGAAGATCTTGCCTGCAAAATCAAAGTACACCCATTTTAAAAAGTCAGGGAAACTTTCCTACCTCATTTAGAGTTGACTTCCTGGAAGGCCTGCTAAGGGCACAATGAAAGATTTATTTATTTAAAACATGTTTATGCCGCCCCCATCGCAACAAAGCCTCGGGGCGGCTCACAACAAGAACAGAATATACAGATATCACAAATTATACAATAAAAATATTAAAACAAGTATTAAATCAAAATAGATGATGCCAGCGACGTAGAAAATTTTGGATTCCCTCTCCCAAAGCCATGGATGCTGTTCCTACTGTAAGAGGAAGTCTTTGAGACCCAACCTCCCTTCATAGGCCCAGCGGGAAAAAACACAATGCCTGCTTTACAAGGTCCTGGGTACCTCTCATACTCATCCTAGTCTGGCAATGAGGACATGCAAATTTGAAACTGTTCTTTCAGTGTTTCTAAACTGATACAAGCATATAAAATAAAATATACATTGTAACCAAGATCCTGCAATCATTCCACAACAAGGAGGCAGCAGGAAGGGAGAATCTAAAAACCATGGAAAGGTTTAACGTGGCGCAAAGCAATTGCTGTGTCAGCTGCAGTTGCATTGCTAAGATGGGGTTCCCTACAGTTGGGGTGCCACGAGAGGAGGCCTGCTTGCTTAGTGGTTCCACTAAGCATTGTCGGTGTCTGGTGGAAGAGGCTGTTCTTGGCACGTGTTTCCGGGCCGGGCAGATCAGACTAGGAAATGGGTTCTCCAGATACTGAGATGGAAGGGCTTGAAAAGCTCGCCTCGATGTGTTCAGGTGGACCCAGAGAATAGGCAAAGTCTACAAGAGCAGGAAGGGCTCATGGGGCAGGAGCCGGACAAGCTCCCATGATGCAGTGCTGGAAGAGAAGAGCTAGCCAACTAGAGGAACTGTGTACAACTAGGAGGCTGGCTCAGTTCCAGAGGGGCCTTTCCAGAAGGTGGGGTCCAGGTTCGCTCAAAATAAGGGTGCTCAGAAGTCACTTCTACTTTGGGTTCAATGAATTGCTCTGCGCATGCTCAGAGACTCTTTCTGTGCCGGTTATGGCTTTCTGGATGCACACTGGAAAGTAAAGAGCTTTTGCGACAGAATGGCCTTTTCTGAAAGTGAGAAGGGGGAACCCTCACTCCAGACAGTAGATGGAGAAGAATCTTCACCACAGATCGCAGGCACGGGCAGGCCGATCGAGGGAAGGCACTGCTCCATCTCTTTCGGTCCCAAACCATTTAGGGCTTTCAGGGTGAGCACCAGCATCTTGCACCGGTCTTGGAAAGAAATAAGTGGCCTGTGCAATTCTGTCGGAGGAATGTGATGCCGCCTGGATGAACCCCAGCAGCTCTTTCCCCCCAGGCCAAGCTTCTCAGTTGTTTTACACAGGATCCCACAGAGAAGGCACTGCAGCGATGCCGGTGTGTGCTCCTTTCGGCCAGTTGATCCCAATTCAGGAATGGTTGTTGCCCACGAACCAGCTAAAGCTGGTGAGATGCCCTCAGGACCCCAGGCCGCCTGGGCTTCAAGCGACAAAGCTAGCTTTAAGGGCGCCTGCTGTTTTGGGGAGTGCAGCCCCATGTAGAACAAGATGCACCCCTGATTCCAGGAGTGGGAGCCATCAACCCGCAGTGCAGGCCCCTTCCAAGATGCAGCTCCAGCTTCTTGGGTTTAATCCTCATCCTGACCATTGCCAAGCTGGACACCCAAACAGGCAGTCTTGCCTCAGTTGACAGAGAGAGAGTGCTGGAGATAATTGCCATGCTGATGGGCTTTACTCCAAGCCCTGTGAGGGCCAGTGCTGGAATTGGGACCTGAGAGTCCCCGGTTCTAATCCCCACGTGGACTTGAAACACCCGAGGTGACTTTGGGCCAGTCACTCTGGGCTTAACTACCTCACAGGGATATTGTTTTTCTTTTTTAAATTCTTTTTATTATTTCATTAAAAGAAATGAAGTTCAGAAAGGAAGAAAAACCTAAAGGAAAAAACAAGAATGCCAAGTCGTGCAGTAATATAACACATGTATTCATAACCTGAAAATTCCCCCCAAAGCCCAGAATTTCTGTTTTTCTGTCAATTAGTACTTTGTTGAGGCTCTGAAAAAAGTTAATTATTCTCCAAACCAACACATTTTCCAATGACTTCGAATCTATTATAAATCACCAACAATATTTTTACAAGCTTCCTTTTGTTCTGTATTAAACTGCATATAATAGATCATTTATCATTAAATTCTTCAATCAGTCTATTGTTTACATAATTAATTCTCACAGGGATATCGTTGTGAGGTTCAAATGGGGTGGAGAAGGACTATGGAAGGAAGTTTGGGTTCCTCATAAAAGGGAGAAAAAGACAGGATGTAAATGTCATGTAATAATAATAACCATATTCAGAAGCTTCATATCTATGTTCAAAAGGGTGGGGGATGAGATTGAACAAAGCACAGATGTGCTAGAGTTGAGCAGCAGCCGAACAATGCTGTCCAGAGCCACTGAGCCACCAGAAAAACTCTCTTGTAACACGAGTCATTCCTCAGGATGACCAAAGCTTTTTCAGTACCAGATCCAGGCCTGAACTCAAACTGAACAGCAGCCAAATAGAGAGCAGATGTGGGAAAGCGAATCTTGGCTGCTTTGGGGTTTGGATTATCCCTGAGACGTCTGCACACTATGATAACCTGTGATATTTTAGATGAAGCTTTTCCCCCTGTTCTTTATTGAAGGAACAACTCCTCATTCAATCCTATTAAATGTTACTAAATAAGGAACCATTTTTTGAAATGAGCAAGCAGCAAGCTACTTGGGAGGAAGATTTTAAGCTTAGGGGAGAAGACAACTGTAAAGCTTACTTCTATTTTATTTGTGGAGTTCTGCTCAGTCCCAATGGACCAATTTGCAAGAAACTGAAGGAAATGAAGGACATAAAGAACAGAAAAGGTGAAGGCAGGAAACCACAAGCCCCCTAGAATAACTGGGTGAAAGCATTGCAGTTAGTAAGTTCTGGAAGCACTAGTCTGTTGTGGGTATAAATAATTCCCCAAAGATGGTCTAAAAATTTGGGTTCAGTGTCAGCTGGATGGTAATAATCTGCATGGCGACAGGGAGGGAAGGCACAGCTCTCCTGGGTAATGGGCTTACCTGGCGTTACAGGATGGCCTTCACAGGGTCAAAGAAGCTTTCTGAATGGCTCTGGAATCTGTACAAAAAGGTTTGACAGGTTTTTAATTAAGGTAAGGAATGGCTGCAACCCAGCTTAGGCCCAATCTTATACATACGACAGACCAATACTTCCTGGGGCTGGACTGCTCCAACCTGCATATGGCTACCTTAAATTTGAATTTACTTATGTTATTAATTAATTAAATTTAGGCCTTGCTTATAGCCCTGTTTGGGCTCTCTGGGTGGTGTCTTTAAAACAAACAATAAACTAAATAGCACCATAAAATACTACAATACAAAAACATTGTTCCAAATGTTTAAAGAAACCTGCCTGGATATGTAAAAACAGCACCTTACAGAGAAGCCTGGGCTTTTCAAAACATTAAATTACATTTTGATTGATTGCACTTCTGCACAGCCTTCCCGGAACCAACCAAAGTGGTTTACAAACAATTATATTGTTAAATGTAAAATGTTAAAAGCCATCTTCAACACAAAAACAATTTAAAAAGCCAGCACGCTCTTAACTGGAATTCCTGGGGCT